CAGGTGTAACGGAGTTCTTAGCCATTTTGTGGGAAGCTCTGGATGACCCCTCAGTGATGGACTGAGTTAAGGCAAGTGCTCCGAGTTTTTGTAACCTCCTCATCTATCCCCTTGGAGACACAAAGCAGCTTCCTTCACCCCAAGGTGATTTCTAGAAGGGACTTAGCTGTGAGCCCCAGTCAACCCTCCTGGAAAATGGAAGACTAAGTGCTTCAGCCTTGAACATAGGTATCTGTGTGTTGCACCATAACCTCTCCTACACCTATTAAACATGCCAGTGGAACATACTGGCCCTCTAACATATCAAAGTGGATATACAAATCTAGACAAAATGGAAAAATCAAGGCTGGGGATGGAAATTGGTGAACTCATCATAAGCCTAATAAGCAGTCTTCACACACGTGCCACAGTGCCAAATGCATTATGTGTAGCTGGTTGAATTATGTCTCCTAAAACGATAGGGCTGAGTCCGAAACCTTGAAACCTGTGAATGTAAACTTACTTGGAAAAAGGGTCTTTTAAGAGAGAGAGAAGGAAAAGACAGAGGCAGAGAGGAGTGATGCTGTTGCAAACTAAGGAATTCCTGGAGCCAGCAGAAGCTCAAAGAGGCGAGGATTTTCTCCCAGAGCTTTTGGAAGTAGTGTAGTCCTGTTGACACTTGGAATTCTGACTTCTAAAAATCAAACGTTGTTGTTCTTTTCCACTCATTTCACCTCCCATCATAGCTAGTGGCTAGATTGTTAGTCTTGCTTCCTTCCTATCAATTAACAGCCCCCTGATGTCTTCTGTGAGGCTCTGCTGACCCCAGAACTTAGGGAAATATAAAAGTCCCCTATCGGTAGCTTAATGGCTCAGTATTAAACATTAAATAAAACTTGATCCTGAATCCTACTTTTGCAGTTTTAAAAAATATTTATACTTTAAAAATGATGCGTCTGATTTGCTAGTTTTTCTATAACTTTTGCTTGGTTCACTTTTGCTAATCTCAGAACTCCGATTCTTAATTCCGATCCAATCCTTATGACTAGATCCCTTTTATAATGTTATCTGAATTCCAGAATTCTAAAGTAATTTTTAAAATTTAGAAGTAGATTCTTGAGTTACAGATGAAGTAATCTGGGATATGCAGATTGGCGTGTTCCATTAGGTTTTCTCAATTTGACATGAGGTAGTACTAGGTGGAATGAATGCTAAATTAGAGAATAAAAACCCTCTAGGACATGTGACAACCTAACCACTTGTTCAACTGAGATGGAAATATTAATAAAAATCTACCAAATGTTTGACCACTAGAAGCATTTTTGATATTCTGGCAATACCAGGACTATGGCTATTAGGAGGTTGGGTACTTATTTTCCTAAATGTTGGCTATATTTATTAAGTCCCTATTTTCTGCCAGTGCCATATTATTAGGATTTGTCCCAAATATTGCCAGGGAAATGTTGCTGTGACAACTTACAGTTAAAGCTACAGTGGGGCCTTGACTTACGAGTGTCCCAACTAACGAGTTTTTTGAGATACCAGCTGTCTCTCCGCCGATTTTTTGCATTGAGTCGATAGAGTGATTTGAGTTAATGAGCTCCTTAACGAGCTCAGTCTTGGAACGAATTAAACTCGTAAGTCAAGGCCCCACTGTACTGCTATGCTGCAATATTAAGTAAATCTGTTAAGTAAAAATCAAAGCTACAGATGAAACCAGGTTTGTTTAATTCCAAAGTCCACACAGTCTTTTTGAAAAAATACACCACATTTTCATAGATTTTAAAAAGAGATATTCTCTGCATTAAGTGACAAAAGGTGCAACATTAGGAACTTAAAAGTTCCAGCCAAAAATGACTGTGATGACCAGGGAAATGATTGTGATAATAATTCATAATACTGATGGATGGTAGTGTTGAGTGCTTCCTCAGTGCTGGAACCTACTAGTATGCTCAGTGCTTTACATTAGTTATATCATGTAGTCATCATGTCAACCCTATAATGGAGTTACTTTTATTCTGTTTTATGGCTGAGGAAACTAAGGCTTTTAGACAGAGGTAAGTTGCACATGGTTCCCAAACTATTAAGTGGTAAAGTCAGGTCCGAATCTAAGCAATAGATTGCAGTTACTAATTGGCTACACTGCCTTCATAATGAGGACTAGAGCAGTGTTACAACATTTAGGAATTTTACATATCTGTATGATTTTGAAATTGATAAAAGGAGGGTTGAAGCACCAGTGATGACAACTGACAAGTTTGTTAACAATTTTGCAGTTTAAAATAGTTATTAACACAGGTAGTGTGGCTCAGTGGTTGAGCCTCGACACATGAACCAGAAGGTGATGGTTCAATTCCTGGTCAGGGCACAGGCCCAGGTTGTGGGCTCAATCCCTAGTAGGGTCATGCAGGAGGCAGCTGATCGACGATTCTCTCTCATCATTGTTGTTTCTCTCTCTCTCTCTCTCTTCCTGTCTGAAAACAATAAAAAATATGTTTAAAAATTGCTATTATCAGCTATCCCATAATTTCACAAAGGAGAGATCAGTTTTCCTTAAACTAAACAATTAAAGAAAGAGAATATCTGGAAAAGAGCAGTCCCTCTCAGTACTGGGAATTGGCTATCTTACTCCAACCTAGCTTCATTATACATTATCCTTATATCAGTGGAAGTGTTATAAGTAATCTTTAAAGGCATATTAGAGTCTTGAGGTACTCAAGACTATTGTGATTACAGTAAAGCTTTTTTTTTTAAAAAAAATTGTGCACCTAAGAAAACATTTTGAAAAAAAATTGACTATGCATTTTGATAAATTTATTTTAAGGTATTAATAATTACAATTTAGTAAGATGTTTGAGTCCAGGTTTACAATTAAAATATTAGCGGTGCAAATACAAAAACTGCCTAATCTATCATTACAGTAAATATGTTGAAGAAGCTATGTTATATCTAGCACATTTGACACTGGCATATGCTGAGTGGTTTTATTGATTTATTAGGATACAAAAAAACTACTTTAATGTGACATTCCTACTAATTATGGCAAATTATATTGGTTTTTCAATTATGGCAGTAATGTCATTTTTTTTACTTTTTAAAATTTATCCCTATTGTTTAAAGTTTTATAAATGTCCCCTTTTTTCCCATTGACCTCGCCATCTCCCCACTCCCATCCCTTCTCTAGACCTTTACCCCACTGTTATCTGTGTCCTTGGGTTATGCAAATATGCATATAAGTTCTTTGGTTGAGTTATGTTGAATTTCTCTCTTAAATATATTTTTTAAAAAAGTTAGTCAATTTAAATAGAAAATATTAAATAAATGGTATTGTTGATTGAATACCAATTTGCAGAAAATTGTAGCGGTGCTCTATGAATAGCTCCACTTTAAGAAACAAATAATTTGAGAATCTAGAGATGCCCAAGATGTTGACTTTCTTAGTACTTTATACCAGCCACTAAACTTTTTCAGCGGTAGTCCAAACTAAAGGTCAGAGATAACAATATGACTTTCCAACCTAAAATGCTAAGACCTAGTTGAGTATGTTGCAAAGAGACTACCAAAATGTGTCTGCAGATATAGAAAGGAATATTTTAATTCTAGGTGTATAACAGTAATTAATAGGGCTAACGGGCAGCGGTTGATGTTTGATTTTGCTGTTTTAAAAAGAGGTGTCCTGAATGTGTTTGCAGGCAGAGGGAAGTGAGCCTGCAGAAAGGGAGGACTGGATATGCTTAAGAAAGAACTGATGAAACGAGGTCCCCAGGGAAGAGGCGGGCGGAGGGGCGGGCAGGTGGTGGCACCAAGATGATTGATAGAGGAAATGAGGGGAGAGGATTGATTGAGGAGATACATTGGTACAGAATGGAGCCAGATGTTTAAAAAACAAATGTTATCTACCTTATACTTTGAGGTAGGGATTTTCCTGTTAAAATGCCTTGATCAGAAACTGAGTCAAATTTTCTAGTAACCACCAACTTTGGTACCTACATACCACATTCCTCTCACATGGAAGTCTTTTTTGCTCTCTCATGGAAGTCCCCAGAAAGAAACGTGACTGACATTATACTGGGTTCCACGCAATGTCAGGCTTCTTACTTTATTATTCAGTGAGCACAGGGTGGCAGGTGATAAGCTGGTATCAATGCAAAAGGAATCTAGAGTGTGTGTGTGTGTGTGTGTGTGTGTGTGTGTTTAAACTCTATAAACTTCATTGTCTTAGCTGGCATAAAATAGCTAGCAGGAATTTTTAAATACTAGAGGCCTGGTGCGCGGATTCGTGCACCGGTGAGGTCCCTTGGCGTGTCCTGTGGGGACTGGGCCAAAACTGGCAGTCCAATGCCACCTGCTGCTCCCACTCATCCCAGCCCCGCTGCACCTGCCAGTGGGCTCGTGCTCAGACAGTCCCGATCAGGAGAGGCTCATGCCTCAGCAGTGGCGCTCGCCAGTCATGAACCCTGTGTCTGGCGCCTGTTGGTCAGCTGAGCGGTGCTCCCGCTGTGGGAGGGCACTGACCACCAGGAGGCAGCTCCTGCATTGAGCAGATGCTCCCTGGTGGTCAGTGTGTGTCATAGCGACCAGTCGCCTGGTCATTTGGTCGTTTAGGCTTTTATATGTATAGATTAATCAGATGTAATAAAAGGTATGCATTGTTCAGATATTTTAACAATTTTCCTTCAAACTGTTTTCCGAAGGTATTTAAAGAAACCTGGAAACATTTTTGCTTAGAATTTTTGTGGGCTTTTTTACTATAGAAATTGGAAGTCTGATTTAATAAGTTTCTAAAGGCCTTGATGGCAAAAGTGCACGTGATAAGGGTCAGAGTTAAGGGAAGGAGTTGCAAGTACATTAGTTTATTCATGAGTTGAGGTTTGTAATTGTAGAAGTACTTTGCAATCTCAGCTTTTGCTTCCAAAATCTAGAATTATCTCCACAGGAAGGTGGCTTTCTTAAAATATATTTATGATAGAAACCAGTCTTTTTCAACAGGATTTTAAGTAATTAAATAATTCAAACTGTCGTGACTTTAAATGATAAACTTTTATTCTGAATATACTGTTTTTGCACAAGATTTAACACAACATTTTCTGGGATTATAAATATTTTTATAACAGTATTATACAAATTTTTACAAAATGTTTTTATCAGGCTACTTGATTTTCACAAAAGTGTCAAGAGAACAGAATAAATGGGAGAAAAGATCTTTTGTTCACAAAGCCACTTGGCCTTTTGCATGGATGCACACTGAGCATTTTAATAAAAACATCCTAAAAAGCATGATCCAACAACCATACAGCACAACAAAAACGATAGCTTTGTCAGGTCACACTGTAAACTCAATTGGCATCTATACAAGACAGTATCCCATTAGTCTCAGAGGAATTTCTCCGAGTGAATTATGTGAGCTATATAAACAAAGAACATGAAACTATTGGTAAGGGTTGTCTAAGTTTTTGAAATTCTGGATCTTTTCCAACACTTGATACATGAGTTATATTGATTTGCTCTTTACATCAATGCACATGGATTATTAGCAATATTAACATTCTGAGGAAACATTTGAGGAAAACAACATTCCGATTACAATAAAGTATTTGAAATTGGGGGAAAGTGAAACCATCCTTCTATTCTACACTTTTTTAAAAAACAAAGTCACTAGACTTGTTTCACTGAATCAAACTCTGTATCTCTGGACATTTTAATGTCAACTAACATGATCAATGGAATAGTTTAGAGTTTTAAATTAAGACATAGAATTTCAGCTTTGGTGGAGAGAAAGATTTAAATGAGATGGAAAATACAAGAGAGCATCAAATAAGCAAGTAACACTTGGGTCAGAAAGGTCACTTAAAAGGGATACTGCCTATTTGAATCCAGTAAGGCCCGTTTTAAAGTTAATAAAAGGAATATTACAAGAAAACTTACAAATGGCAGCAACACTGTTCCGTTTTTATGTTTTTGTTTTCCAAGTTAAGCAATAATGCTTCAAGCATTAGAAACATGAAAAAAGATCATACTAAAATCTTACAGGTCCAGGACCTCAAAATCTCTTCAATCAAACTTGCTAACTATGTCATATTAAAAACCTGGTACAAATATGGACCACGATAGGTGTTTGGCAGTAATGCTGGTTGTTCAAATGAAGAAAACCATTAATGCAAAATTTATTCCTGTTACTCAACACCAATGCAAGAGTGATTTGAATTCGTTTTAATGACAAACTACATTAAAGCTGTATGAGTATTGCACAAATGAAGAGTTTAAGAGCTTTTCTCTTGATTTCTTGTACTGTTCAGTCTTAGAAACTCAATATATATAATAGGTTAAAATTTAAGTTTTTGACAACAATTAGAACTCAGAGAAAAATCTGAAATTAAAGATAAAAATTTGATGGGATGAGTGTTACTGTCTTACAGAAAAGTAAGTATGCAAAAGGCATGAAGACAAGTATTAGGACCCAGAACAATTTTTAGTCAGAGCACATTCTTACCCAATTTATAATCATGTATGTGGCTGTCATAATATATTAGTATATTGTATCGCAGAAAATAAAGGATCATAGCAAGACTCATGCATTAAATATATTTTGATGGCAAATGAAATCAAATAGGATCCTGCCAAGAGATGCCACATTTAACTGTCATTAATACAATAATGTAGTCAATGAATACATACTATTTCAGTGACATTAGTCATGAAAATATATTTAATAGATTTTAAAGATAATTTTAAGGTAGTCTGTTGTATGCTGGAAGCAATTCCATTGTTTAATGTGTTGCTTATATACACAAACTAACAATTTTATATTTTGATACCCCCTCCCAACACTTTCTTGATTTAAAATAGTCTAGCAAAAGTTAACAATAAGTTTTAAATATTTAATTAACAAACAACATGATTTAAACATTTCTAGAGTGAGAAATTCCACTTTTTGTTTTTAAATCACTTTGGTGTTTTCTAAAATGTCAATACCAGTTACAAATGAGACTACAAAATCACAATGCATTAGAAATGGTAACTGATGTAGACTCTTAGAACAATAGTTGGCAAAGTGAATCCATTTCCCAATCCCCCCATTTTTAAATAAAAAAATATTTTAAATAAGGAAATGTACACAAATAGTACCTAGGGTATATTGGCGGTAGGAGGGGATTACAAATGTATGCAAAGCTAAAGACAAAACAAATATACCCTCTAAGCTATGCTAAAGAATTTGTTATATCTTTGCTATGTGGAGCATATTAAAGCATGCTGGATAATCTTAATAAGATTCTGACTTTAAAAGGATATATAAGAAAATTCCCAGCATATACACACACCAATATTTGGCATGTTCAAAAAAGAACAAATGCATTTTACCATAAAAAATATCTGTATACTTCCAACCTTCAGCAGAATTACTCGCTACAACTAGAGTTACACATTCAGTTTTCACCCTTTCTTTAAATACTGTTTACTCTTGAAAATAAATTTTAAAGTATAAGTAATATTCAGCTTCCATATTCATCTATAATGAAATATTTGATTTACTATGCTAACGATTTTCACCAATGAGGCTGTATAAAACAATTTTGATTATTCATCATCAAGTATTCATGTGCATAACATATAGATTCAAGGTTTCCTATTTGTTCAGATTTTAGTAAAACCCTTATCAACCTGCATGGAAATTGTGGTCAAGTGATCAGACCACTGCAAATGGAGGGAGAAAGCAGCAGCAGCAGCAGCAGCAGAAATGTTTGGGTTGTAGGTGCCACTGTTCAAACGAACAAAGAGGAAACCTAGGATGAATCTTCATTGAGAACATATATGTGCTTTCAAAAAATAAATGTGTCAAATCTGATTTATGTACTTAAAATATCTGTACACAGGCTTTCACGCAAAAGCACGAATCTGTATAAAATCCGTCAGTTCCCATTTCACCGTTTATCTAACCCAGTCATTCAGCATTTACATTGCACAGTATATTCAGAGTAGTTTAACAACGTTTTTAAAGATGACTTAGGTGCATTACACTGCAAGGTTCAGATTCTTACATAACAATAATGTCACTCGGTTAACTGTTCAATGGACTATACAGTGAAGAGAAAAACAAACTGAAAGTTAAAATAGCAGCAGCATCATGCAAAATACCCTTGGTAACCAAAGTTCATTTATCACAAGAAAAAACATCTTCCCCTCCCCGCAACAAGCTTTTCTTAGAGCATTTTGAAATATCTGGCTAGCACTACATAACTCTACTGTGAACAAAGGACCAGTACACTGAAGCAATTAGTAAGGGCTTACATTTGTGAGGAAATACGTCGCATATTCAAATTTTACCCTCAAGCACCTTTAGTATAATAATTTCTTAGTTATTATTTTCAAACAACCAATTTATTACCCCACCAAAACTTAATTAGTCATCATCTGTGTTATATTTTTTGGCAGAGAAGCCATTCTTCATAAGGCATTTTATTCATGGCAAATTTTTTTTATAGAAAATTAGCCATTATTTCTATTTCAACAGATTACATCGATGTTAATTCTCTCTATATATACATATTTCAATAATAACTACTCAAAGCAGGAAATAATGGTCAACAGAATAAGTAAAGGCAAAAAAAAAAAACACGACATTTTTCTCCCCTAGAGGTTTTCTTGGTAAAAGAACAAGGATTGCAGCAAGTCAAATTCCAGGTCAAAGTCAAGACAATTTCTATGAGTCATAAACAGTTGTGTGGGGAGCCCTTTTACAAGTAATCACCAACAATGCAACAACAAACTTTCAAATTTTCCAGGAAAGCACGCACAGAATTTTGCTTTGATGTTATACATGGATGATGCAACATTCAGACAAGTTGCAGGATCTGGCACCCTGACATGCAGCCAGTGGGTGCGTTATGAGTCTGCGCCTTAGACTTATGCCATGTTGTGGGCCCAGCTAATGTTCTGCTGATCCGAGGTTGACCCTAGGTTACTGCAGTTGAGGACTCATGTTTAGGCAGGGTCTGGAGTTTAATTATGCAGATTTGGTTTTGGAAGGTCATAACTGGCAGTGTCTGATGCCAGATAAAAGCCAAAGAAGTACAAACTGGATTCCAATGATGGACCACAGGGAGGCATTTAATCCAGAGGCACCACCACAGTCTGTATAATCCTCCTGTTGGAAAGAACAGGAAAAAGAAAAATCCTGAAAAATATTTAGTAAGACATCTTTCAGAGCACCCAGGTTTAGTCCACTTCTGAACTCACCTTATAAAATTTCTCTTAGTCCAAATAAATTACATTCTCCTAGATTTCATTGTTCAGTGATTTAGTATAAAGAAATTTCCCTAGTACCAATTAGAATGCTTTATAATTTTATTGTAGATTCTGATGATAATGAAAGAAAATATTTTAATAGTCAATGCTATTTTGAGTTATGTATCAATTTCTAAATTTAAAAACAACAAACTTTCATAGGATTAACTGTTCCCATAAATTCAAGAAATAAAAATAAAATTTAACAGCATGTTTTATAATTGCCACAAATTATGTTTTTAGTGATTATGCGCAATTAGGCAAATTTTGGGACTGGTAAAATAAATAAATTTGAGAAGTGAACTTCTATCTTCCATATCCCTTACATCTAGTTTCAAAGGTGAACATACCATATGGCACATGTAGCATCTGGACCTCCATCAAGAATTAAAATAAAAAGAAGAATAACGTATTTGAACCATAAATGAAAGGACACTCTGAAACATATATCTTAAATGGGCTAAGTTATCAAGTTTTGTTTAGAAAACCATGAATGTAGGTAATGCATATACTCATTTGGATTACCCAATGTCTAGTTGTGGTTCATTACGTTCCCTACAAATGCAAAATTATTATTTATCTTTTATTCCAAAGTTCTGTATTCTGTAACATTTTCTATATCCTTTCATTCCTTTTAGTATGTTGAATTTAATAGAAAACCCTCATATCTAATTATTTTTCTAAACATCATTTAAGAATTTACTAATCCAAGTTTCAGCTTCCACTAACAAAAATATTATGTTAAGTATGTGAGTACAAAAATAATTAAGCAAATATTCTATTCAGAATATTTATACAAAGACTCTGAGCTCCCAGAGAATAGAACATTGACTCTTTGCTCACTGTGGTTTAATACAGTGATTGCTACCCAATAAGTAAAATTTCTTTCTTGAATTGTATTTGAGGCAGAACTCTTTTGTTTCTCTAACAGAATTTTTGAGGAAAAAGAATCTATTTAAGGGAAATTTCATTTTTAAAAGATAGGCCCTAAATCTAAAGAGACAGTTAAAAAATGATCAATTCTCAGTCCTCATCCTATTTGACTTTTCAGGGGCATTTGACAAAATACAATAAATATTCTCTCCTTGAAATATTTTCTCATGCATCTTTTCTCCACACTTGTTTGTGGTTCTTCTTACTCTTTTCAGCTTCTTTTCTTCAGAATCTCTCCATGTTAGATTATTCCAGGGGCTATTTCTCACTCATATTTTCTTCTTTATTTATACTTTCTTCCTAAGTGTTCTAATCCAGCCCTGGAGCTTTAAATTTCACCCATTTGTTACTCATATTTTTATTATTTTTAATATGAAAACAACGTTGTTGTTTTTCCAAAAAAAAAACCCACAGCTTTATTGAATTATAATTGACAAATAAAATGGCAAGATATTTAAAGTATACATTGTGGTGACTTGATTATGAAAGGATGGCTCCTATCAAGATAATTAACACATCCATCACCTCACATACTAATTTATTTTCCTTTGGTGAGAATATTTAATATCTACTCCCTTAGTAAATTTCAGTTTTGCAGTGTTACCAACATTGTCATCAATTATAGTCACTATGTTTTATTGGATCCTCAGGCCTTACACTTTTATCAACCTCTCCCCATTCACTCATCACTGGGCAGCAATTTTATGAGTTTGAAATTTTTTTTTTTAAGATTCCATATACAGTGGGGCCTTGACTTGCGAGTTTAATTCATTCCGTGACAGAGCTCGTAACTCAAATTACTCGTATGTCAAATCAAAAAGTGAACGAGTGAGACACGTGATGCTGGGCTGATGTCGTGGTGTTCACTGTGACGTTTGCTGCACCAACTAGCGGTGGGGTATCTGAAGCTGGCTCGTAACCCGAATTTTAGCTCGCAACTCAAAGCAAAAAATTGGCCGAGAGACGGCTCATATCTCAAAAAACCCGTTAGTCAGGACACTCGTAAGTTAAGGCCCCACTGTATATAGTAAGTGATACCATGCAGTATTTGTCTTTCTTTGCTTGGTCTATTTCACTTAGCATAATGCCTCAAGGTCAGTCCATGTTGTTTTTTTGCAAATGACAAGATTTGATTTTTTTAAGGCTGAATGAAATTCTAGTATTTATATAAACTTTTAGGTTGTTTCCATATCTTGGCTACTATAAATAATGATGCACTGAATACAGGAGTGTATATATCTTTTCCAGTTAGTGTTTTCATTTTCTTTGGATAAATACCCAGAAGTAGAATTTCTGGATAATACTGTAGCTCTATTTTTAAAAACTTTAAGGAACCCCCATACTGTTTTCCACAGTGGCTGCACCAATTTACATTCCCCAAAATGTAAATTTTCTCCACATCCTTGCCATCATTTATTTTCTCTTGTCTTTTTTACAATAGCCATTCTAATAGGTATGAGTTGATTTTCACTGTGGTTTTGATTTGCATGTCACTCTTAATTAGTGATGTTGAGCCTCTTGTCAAATGCCTGGTGGCTACCTGTATGTCTTCTTTGAAAATATGTTTATTCAGATGCCGGAAGCCAATTCCAGCATGTCAGCAAGGGCTGAATCATCTGGAGTGGCAAGGGCCTTTCCCCAAACCTGAAAAGGGATGATTGCTTGCTGCCAGACAGCTCAGGGCATCTTAATCTACATGTTACTGCCTCCTACTGGCCAAACACCTGAACAGCCAGAGGCAAATTCCTCCAATCTGACAATGGATTCTATACCCAACCCTACCCTTTGAAGTGTATATCTCCACCTTGCCTTAGGACAATTTGTGTTAATAAATAGCAAGGGGTCCTCCCGAGACAAGGAGATCTTAGTTTCTTTAGCTAGGCTCCTCTGACCCACAAATGCCTTTCAAAATTATGTTTTGTCTCTGGACTCTTATTTAATTTATGCACAGCCCCTTCTCCAGATTTCTGAACCCTTCTTGATGCCGGATCAAGACCCCTGGCATTCAGATCCTCTGTCTGTTTTTAAATTATTTATTTTTAGATACTCAGTTTTATGAGTTCTTTCTATATTTTGGGTACTGGCCCCTTATCAGATATATGACTTGTAAATATTCCCTCCCATTCAGATGATGCCTGTTTTTCTTTCATATTTGGGTTGGTTCTTTGTCTCACCATGATTTCTCTTCTCAGAGTGTTTGGTTATGTAGTTCTCTCTCTGCTTTCGGTGAGAAGCAGTGCTTGTCTGAGTTCACGCAGTCACGCTGCTTGAGATCCCTTGTTTCCAGGTTAGTAGCTGGTCTCTGGATCCCCTCCCATTCAGTAGATTGAGGATATGGATATATATATACTAGAGGCCCAGTGCACAAAAATTTGTGCACTCGGTGGGGAGGGGGCATCCCTCAGCCTGGCCTGTGCCCTTTCGCCATCTGGGACCTCTCGGGAGATAAGGACCTGCTGGCTTAGGCCTGCTCCCGGGTGGCAGAGGGCAGGCCCTGGTCGGGTTCAGAGCAGGGCCGATTGGGGAGTTGGGGCACCGCCCCCTGTCATAGGTTTGTCTATTTTAATTATCTTTTGTTTCATTTATGTTTTCTATTTTCTTTTTAGTCTCTAATTTATTTATTTCTGCTATGATCTTTGTTATTCCCTGACTTCTAATACCATTGTGATTAGTTTGTTGTTGTTTTTTGTTTGTTTTTTACATCCTAGAGGTATAGATTTAGGTTATTTGAGATTTTTAAAATTGTTACTATAGGTATTTATCACCATAAACTTTCCCTTTATAAGTACTTTACTACTTCCCATAGTTTTGGTATGTTTTACTTCCATTTCTCCTTTGAATGATTATTTAAGAGCGTGTTTCTTAATCTCCACACATTTATAAATTTTCCAGTTTTCTCCATGTAATTGATTTTTATTGTCATACAGTTGTGGTCAAAAGGATGCTTGATATAATTTTTTCTTGATAATAATAATCATTTTACATTTATTAAGTCGTCTTTTATGGCATAAAATATGTACTATTGGAGAGAATGATCCCCATGCAGTTTAGAAGAATGTCTATTCTGCTGCTTTGGGGTGGAATGTTGTTAATGTCTCTAACATTCTTCTGCTCTAATTTGTCACTTAGCTCCAGAGTTTCCTCATTGATTTTCATTAATGAAAGTAGGGAATTAATGTCCCCTAATATTATTGTACTAGAGGCCCAGTGCATGGATCTGTGCACCAGTGGGGTCCCTCAGCTTGGCCTGTGCCCTCTCAATCTGGGACCCCTCAGGAAATGTCAGAGAGCTGGATTTGGCCCAGTCCCCACAGGCCAGGCCAAGGGACTTCTCTGGGTTACGATGCTGGTGAAGCAGATTCAGGGCTGAAGTGCCCCAGCAGCAACCTAACCCCTGGCCGATTCCGCAAGAAATTGTGCTCTCTCCTCTACTGGTTGGAGTGTCTGCCCCCTGGTGGTCATTGCACGTCATAGCTACCAGGCGATCGGTTTAAGGGTTGGACATTGCTTAGGCTTTTATATATGTAGATTGCTGTCTATTTCTCCTTTTTTGTCTGTTAATATTTAATTGATATATTTAGGTGCTATATGTTGATGCATAAATATTTATATAAAGGTTATATCCTCTTTTTAAATGACTCCTTTATCATTATATAATGACTTTGTTTCTTATTACAGATTTTTTTTTAATCTTCACCCAAGGATATGTTTAAAGAGCAGGGGTGGGGAATAGTAGGGTGGGGAACATTAATGTAAGAGAGAAATATCAATCATTTGCCTACTATATGCACCCCAACTGGGAATCAAACCCCCAACCTTTTGGTACATGGGACAGTGCTCCAACCAAGACACATGGCCAGGGCTTTTTAATATAATTTTTGTCTGAAAGTCTAAGAAAAGCTACCCAAGCTTTCTTTTGGTTTCCAT